TAGTTAAAAAGGGAGTTATCCCAAATTATTGTTTGCTACAGCTTCAAACAAATACTTTATTGCCATGTTATTAGCAATTCCAACAATGTCTGTGGATCTTTGTACTTTTGCTGTGTAGGAAAATGAGAGTTCTACCAAAAATTCAAAACTCTGCAACAAATATAACCACAAGTACCCTCAGCCTACAAAGAAAGCCCCCCCCCAACTTGCTAAAATGACTTGTAATCATACAGCAGAGGCTATCGTAGTGTCTAGCCCATAGTTTACTGACTAGCCAGATTCTACTCTTACCACAAAGAAGGATCCAGAATGAGCTGCCTGAGCTTTATAATAACTGTGGGTTATAGGGCAGACTGAGGTATTGGGGGGTCTCAATCTGCAACTATCCTGTCAGATTCCATTTGCCCTCACACCTGACAGCTACTTGGCCAGCTTCTGGGACAGAACCATTATGACAACCTTAATGTTAACATCTTTCTTATTATGCAAAGTACCCATGCAATGGCACTATCACTTTTTCCCCTCCCCACCTTGCTCTCCAGGCTTAAGTTGGTTTTTCTTCTAGACATTTCCAGGATGTGCCTGTCAAGTACCCTCAGCCTACAAATAAAGCCCCCCCCCACATGCTAAAATGACCTGTAATCATACAGCAGAGGCTATCATAGTGATCTAGCCCATAGTTTACTGACTAGCCAAATTCTACTCTTAACACAAATAAGGATCCAGAGTGAGCTGCCTGAGCTTTATAATAACTGTGGGTTATAGGGCAGAATGTGGTATTGGGATGTGTGTGTCTCAATCTGCAACTATCCTGTCAGATTCCATTTGCCCTCACACCTGACAGCTACTTGGCCAGCTTCTGGGACAGAACCATTATGACAACCTTAATGTTAACATCTTTCTTATTATGCAAAGTACCCATTCACTGATTCTCTCACTCTCTCTCCAATTGACTTTGCTCTCCAGGCTTAAGTTGGTTTTTCTTCTAGACATTTCCAGGATGTGCCTGTTCCTCGGGTTCTGTAGCTTCAGAGCTTATTTAGGTTAAAAAGCCAAAACGCATTCCCCAAAGCGTGTGACTTCCTCAGGAGCACACATGAATGAATGATGAAAGCAAAATCACAGTGGGAATGCCTGCTTTAAAACTGGACAGTCAGGTCTGCTGATCATTTTGAAAACAACAAAGGATCATATTCATGCAATACCTCTGTTAAACCAAAAAGAGCATAAAATGGTGTGCAAGCTTTTGAGATCTGCAATCCTCTTATATCAAGCACAATGGTACAAAAAGCAGACCTGGGGAAGAGGTGGGGGTGAAAAGAAATGGGCAGGGGAGAGCGATTTAATGTTGAAACCATTGTGTCTGCATGCTCTTAATTCAGCTACCCTTTATATTTTTCAAAATGCAGAATCAAATACAGTATTTCTGGCTTTCTTACTCCCAGCATTTCAAGCGGTAAAAGCTGGATGAATTCTAAAACCTTCATTATCATCTGTTGGAGTTGCATCTGAATGTTTGCAGAGTCCTCTCCTCTTCCAAGTCCAGACTGAGACTATTTCTGCCCTGCAACACCCTCTTTGTTTGCCTGATGAAGAGATCTAGAGGTCTAGCCAACATGAGTTTGATCAAACTCTGGGAGTCAGTGGAGGACAGTAGGGCCCCGCGTGCTCTGGTCCATGGGGTCACTAAGAGTGGGATACGACTAAACGACTAAACAACAACAACAAGAGGTCTTGCACATTGTCATTCCCATTTGGATTGGATATTACACTAATACAAATTTTGCGATTCTCCTTGAAAATTGTGTTTTTAAAAATGCAAAAAACCCCAACAACACCACCCTGTTATCAGAATAACAGGCTGGAAATGAAGTTGAAATGGTGTAATGTCTTTGTATTTACATATAACTAACAAAAAAATCTATATCAAGATGTGGAAAAGATATGGAGAATGTGGGACCCTCCAGAGGTTGACAGAACAGCCATAATTCTCCATTACTGGCCTCACTGACTAGGGTTGATATGAATTACACTATGTATGTGAAATATATATTAACGGAGACATCATTCAGTAGCAACCCTACCATATAACAATGCTTTGGAGCTACAGCAAGGGCTTTTTGCATTACATACAGCTCCATCTTGCCTCATTTCATGCTTTATTGCTTTTTAAAATGAAATGGGGCTTTAAAAGATGTACTGTATGTGTGAATATATGCTTATGGATCTAGATGGGACTACAGTAATCTTTCTCACTTAACAAAAGGCTACCTTCCATCCCATCAGACAGTGGGATGCAAGATCAAGTATGCAGGGGCTTACATGCGAACAACTTTCTGAGGCCAGATCTGTAGTCATTCTAGCACAGTATCCTGCCTTTGACTGATCAGGTCTCAAGTCTCCAGGAGATTCTGCCAATATAGGATACTAAGAAGATTTGAAGGGGATGAGATGGGAATCTTTGGGGGTTCCAGGGGCTGCAGATAACCCCCAACCTCAAAGAGCTATATCCTGTGCTCTTCTGACTACAAAATATAGTTTTCTTCCTAAAAATCTTGCTGAAAAACACAGACAGACAGACAGACATCTGTGTAAGAACTGAGTGTGCTAGGGAGCAAGGTGCTTCAGGGGCTCCTAGCCACACTAAAATGCTTTCCTCATCACCCAGAGGGCCCAAGGAGAACTTTTTTCCACAAAAAGTCACTGCACAAGCTTTTTTTTTAAATAGTGGAGTGGGTGGGAAATGGGGTAGAACATAAATAGCATCCACATATCACACAGGAGAGGTTGAAAAAGTGCTTTTCAGTTTGACACATCACTCCAACCATGCCACCTACATTTTAATCTACTGTAGTTCTCACACTATGCTTAGAAAGGGACGTGTTGCAGGAATTTTGACAAGTATTTTGCATGCCACCTCACCATAGTCTTATGGTCTACTACCAGTGCTATTTGCTATCTCCTAACCTATCAGAAGACACTCATCTTTGTTCTGCTCCTGTATTACAAAAGACTGGTGCACTGCAGAGACTGAACTAAATGCTGACACAGGGTGATGGGGGTGGGTTATATACATATAAAAGAGGGATGACGTGTCTTGATGGGGGGACACTTCACTCCAAATTTTTATGGCAGAGTGTCTCCATTGCTCTGGCCATGAGCTCTTAATGATGTAACAAACATAGCACAGTACAAAGAATACATAGGATACAACCAGACATGTGTCTACGCTATAGTTACAGCAGCTAAACACCACTTTCTCAATTCCATAGACTCCTTGGATCTATAGGTTAATGAGGGAGTTTTCTGCTAGACTTCACTGGTTCACTAGAATAAAATCACAGTGATTAAACTGTTTTTTAGCTATCAGAACTTTGTAGATGCTTTCAGAGAGGAAGGGTGGTTGGAAAGAAAGGGGATCCTTCCCCCCCCCATTCCTTTCCCCCTAAATCTTCTTTCTTGCCATGGAAGGCCAGGGGAAACCCAGGTCCACCACAATAAGAGAAACATCAAGATGAATGGAGGAAAGTGTTCCTGGGAGAGAAACTTGGGTAGATTGTTCTCTGTAGCAACATCCAGCAACCGCTAACAAACGGGGCAACTTACCTAGAATGGAAATTCTGTGCAATGTGCAATTAAGCTAGCTGCAAAGAGCAGAGAGAACAAGTGCTTGGGAAAGTTACTTGTTTCAATCATAACACTTTTTAAAGATTATAATGTCATGCAGTTGTAGTGACCAAGCTGGGTCTTAGGAGATGGTAGTTGCACAAAGTAATTTTTCGTAGAGTGATACCCCTGGCAGGCACCAGCAGTGTCTAGCACTTGCAGCAGTCTCGGCTTTCTGGAGAGGGCAACACTGTCACTCTGTCCATAACTAGCATTTGCCCCCATCCTGATACCTGTATATGTACAGGGAGAGGGTGCTTAACCTGACACATGCTGCCAATCAGCGTTGCCCCTAGCGTTCCATATATGCATTTTAAAGCTCTAGGCCAGCCTGGATGACCTAAGGGTAGTCTACCAGCTCTTTTTGGACATCAACTCCCATCATACATCACCCTTGATGTACTGGCTGGGGCAGATGAGCTCTGCAGTCCAAAGACTTGTTGGTCACCTCACCCATCCTTTGGGCTAAGCACTCAGCTCTCCATATTTTCTCCTGAACCTTCCCTTTCTGAAGCATGGAGGAAGGACAGGGAAACCTAGGGCTTTTTACAAGTTTTGGGATGGCCCTTTCCTCCCTCTCGCACCATGACCAGTGTTCCTTATAGTCAGACCTCTGGAAAGTCCCATACCTGGCGTAGGCTTCCCTCTGCCTGTGGGGGGCGGGAGGTTCATCCTCCCGAAATGTGGTGCTCTTTTAGCTTTTCCCCGGCACAGGGTATGTGGTTCGGACCACAAAAGGAACTCCCCACCCGTGTGTGTGACCGTCCGCTCCACGGAACAGGCACAGTCTATCCCTGTCAGAATGCTGTCCCAGCTCTAGAGCAAACCAAACCCGCCGACCAAGCGGTTGTGGCAGCGGCCTCGCTCGTCCACGAGTAACGCCACGCGCGTCCGATGGCCCAGCCGCCAGCAGCGGCGGGAAGGGGAACGGCGCTTTCCCTTTG